TTTAAAAAATTGTTTTGTTCTTTTAAAACCAAGAGTTTTTTTTTATTCTCTAAAATGATCTCCTTTCACATCTTTTCCTAGTCTCTGACAATGTTCGGTCGTCTGCTTTCGTCTCCACTTTCTGCCCTTACCCCCTCATCTCCTTTACCCACAGCTCTGGGCTCTTGACTCTTTCTACAGCTTTTCTACTGCTATTCCTTGACTCCATCTTACTGTGGTCTTTGAGCCACACTCCTGATGGTACAGTAGGAAAGATCTACACCTAGCCTTCTCGGACCAGAGAAAACAAATATCAGAGGTCCAGTGTGCAAGTTGCGCATGGTTAAAGATTCCTATGAGGTTCAAAATTGACAAGAGTAGACTTCGGTCGCCACCAGGGCAAAATTCAAAATTTCCTACCTACTAAAAATGTTAAATGTGCCCCGTGCGCTCATAAGAGGGCAATAAAACATTTAGATCTACCAAATCAAACAAATATATCAATCCGAGCGTTACTGGGCGGGGGGGGGGGGGGTGTATACTGGAGCTGTCATGTTTTCAAAGTCCAACAATTCGCTGAACTCAGAAGAGTAAATATATTGCAGTACGCGCAAAAAGGTTACAGTACCACATACAACATGCTGTGAGATCAGAGAAAGGCCGGTGACCGCGTCAACAATGTAACAGATCATGCTCAGGTTTGTACTTGATGCTATTCTGCTGATCATCATGTCGTAACCATTGCTGAACACTCAGAGCTCAATTTCTATTGTGACTCAACAGAGTGCTATACTATATTATGAATCAATGTTTGAGCGGTGACAAATACTTGGAAGAAAATGTATTCCATTATAGTCAATACGAAAACTGATCTGTAGCGGACTCTGCGGCCACAAGAATGAACTCTGACCATAGTAGCGATGTGTTCGTCTAAACACAAGGGCCTGGCAAAGTATCACTCTGCTTGTGTGTCATGCTTACACGAGCACGCACATACAGACATATGTGTACACATACAAATATATACGCATACATGAAGAATGCTGAACACGTTGACGCACACAGCAGCTTGGCAAACGTATGCTTACGCCAGAAAGGAAACATTCTTCTTCAAAGCCAGACAATGCCAATTCACTGTATCTACCCCCTACCCTCCCCCCACAAACACACACACACACACACACACACACACACACACACACACACACTCACACACACAAACGCACACACACACAAACGCACACACACACAAACATAGATACACATTCAAACAGATGCATTCATACAGATATACACGTAAACTCATCATTTTTTTTGTCTTACTATATTAAAGTGTTAAAGTGTCAGAAAGGGGCAATGATGTAATACAACAAAGCGTTTAGTCACGTACGTTTTCCCAGTTACCTACGAACCAACCACTGACCATTAAACAACATTATTCTACCAAAACTTGCTGTTTTTTGGAGAGTGAGATGATAGGCCGGCACATAGAGGATCAACCGGCGCTTCAAAGAGAGCGGGGCAGATAAGAGACACGTTTCTAGATAGAACGAAAGCTACCGGGGAACGTGATACATGTACTTTTTATTTTCTTGCATAAAATGTGAAAGAAAATGTCTGTTCAGCAGACTAAAACGCGCCCTGTCATGTCTAACAATCAAAGAATATTAGCTCATAGACATGTAAAATAATTTCCTTAGAAATTCAAACGTGTTAGGGAATTAAGAGAACCTGATGATACATCCGTTGAAAAGTTGGTATAACAGCAATTATAAAAACACAAAAGGTATTGCCGTTAGCTCTTTCGGTGTAGCTCAGTCAAGTTTCTTTGTTCCCCCTCAGCTTTTCGTCGTAGCGGGCATCGTTGAATCTGCACGGCCTGAAAATGGCGACAAGGCCATAAACATCACAGCAGAAGAGGTTTCTGGTCCCGATGACAGCTTCGCCTTCATACAGTTATTCTTGTTTCCCTCTAAGACATCTACGATTACATGGCGTAAGACGAGTCGTTCCTTCAGCCAGAAGGTTACGGCATGGGATAAGTTATAAATCTCGATTTAAGCCTCAACAGACACAACGTGAAAGAATATAATTATGTGTACAGTAGGGCCCACATAGATCCGATTTCTGTTTCAAACAGAGCAGCGAGCAAAAACTCGCAAGGTTCTTTCTTGAATGTGCCGGTGTTGAATTCCAACTACAGGCAAGCCAGATATATTTCTCTTCGTTATCCCCAGCTGAGGGTATAAATAAGAATACCAAAGACTCCAACTCAGGGTAGGGGTATAAAATCTGATGGGTTGTGATCCTCACAGCAAAGGCGAAAGGACGGACAGCATATTATACGTAAGATTCGCCCAGAAGTTATTCCTGGGGCAATCTGTGAATAAATCAGCGTGTCCTCACCGCGAGTGCCAGATACAGCAGTAAAACTGTCCCCCATCGCTGGCTACTGCTCTGCCGAGTTTCAGACTGCACGCAAACAAATCTTCTCAAGCCCACGACTGCTTTGGTTTCCCAGCAAATAAAACACATTCTTCCCCCAACTTCATACTTGCATCTTCAGTCAGTAGCTTTCAGCGACCATATCAAGAACGACCGTCGAGGTTTAGTACATTAAAGTTTTGGAAATATAGAAACAGTTATAGACAGAAATCAGCAACGCCTTCTTCTTTTTCTTTTTTTGAACTTGTTTTCCTCGTAGTTTATATTACTTGTTTTCATCATTCTTTCATGTCTCCATATTTACTTCTAAGACATCGTTATTACGTGGGTGCTCGTGGGAAGCAATGCCCTGCTCTCCGTCCAATGATTCACGAGACTGCACTCTTTGAAGCGCCGGTCTGCTGCACTGGTTGATCCTCTATGTGCCGGCCCATCATCTCACTCTCCAAAAAAACAACATTATGACGACATTCCAGAAGACGGCTACAAATTCCATCCCCATTCCAACAGAACGATACTATTCAGATCAAACCCGCGATGAACTGAACACAGCTTCCGATATGTTGCGGATAAGACCGGAGTGTGGCGTGTGAAGAATTGTACCAAATACGCGATGTGTCTGATCTTGACGTATCTTGTTTTTATTTTAACGACTAAAAATGGGTCACCTGGTAGAAAAAGGTTTAACTTTGCTAGATTGTGCTTTTTTGTGCATAAAATTGACTATCTACATAATATATGGGTCCAGCAGAGTAAAGTAATTGCGCTTATTGTCAATAGAGTGCTGAAAAAGACAGGAACATTTTCGTTTCGCAGACCAGAATACTAACTCCGGCATATTACGCCCCTGAACAGTTATTAAGCACTGCTTCCGTCGAATGTCGTTTGTGGTGATCTTCATCTTCGTTTTAAAAATACTTTTCCACTTCTTATC